AGTGGACCACCCGGTATACCGGGAGTTTCTCTAAAGTGGCTCACCCATACAACTTTTTTGTTTCTTGAAATAAATAAATGAAACTCGTTGTGTAATTATAGTACATAAATATGTTTTATTCAACTTATTCAATTGTTATCTGTCACTTCTGGTTTGACCGGAAATTGCCCTTATTTTCTTATTTCAAATGGGACACCCGATATATTTTTACTTATTTTCATAGAGAATAACATTGTGAGTATAACGACAACCCAATTGCAACATTTTGACATTTATCATCCTGAAATTTTCAATTTTTAATTCTCAATCTAGAGTGTCATGAATGAGTTGAAACGGTTGATTTTGAATCAAGTTGTTTGAAGAGTAGTTTGTTATAAACACGTTGATCCAGTATCATTCACTCTAAATTGAAAATTGAGAAAAGGAAAATTTCAGAATAATAAATGTCAAAAAGTGGCAAATGAGGTGTCATTATCGAAATAAGTAATAATATACCGGGTGTCCCATTCAACATAATAAAATAAGGGTCATTTCCGGCCAAACCGGAATTAACAGAAAACGATTGAATACTTACACATCGAGTTTCATTTGATTATCTGTAGAAACAAAAAAGTTATAGGGGTGAGCCACTTTTGAGAAACACCCGATATATTGGATTGGTTATTAGCTTGGGAGCTTTTCGGGATCCCCAACTCTTGCGATACCCAATTCTCACGATGCCCAATCATGTGAACGATTATGAAGATTGTCAAGAGCACAGCGTTGCCTAGTTGAGAAAACATTGCCATACCCAATTCTTACCATGCCCAATTTTTACCATGCCAGATTCTCACCGTGCTCCCCTTCCACAGATTCACACTATACCCACTTTTCATGGATTCTTACCATACCCACTTCCTACGATGACCAATTCTCTCGATACCCAATTTTTACCAATTCGAGATCTATTGAAATCGGGAATGGTGATAATCTGAAGAAAGGGAAGTGCTAAGAATTGGTGTTCGCGAGACTACCAGAGGTGGATATGGTAATAATTGGGCATCGTAAGAATTGAGTATGGTGATAATCTATGAAAAGTGGGCATGGTGAGGATCTAAGGATGGTGAGCATAGTAAGAATAGGGGATCGTGAGATTTTGGCATCGTAAAAATGGAGCATGGTGAGAATCTTGTTTCTTCTAACCTGGTAACGCTACGGTCTCGGCACTCTTCGTAATCATCGATATGGGCCTGGTAGGAAATGGGCATCGTAAGAACTGGGTTTATTTTCGGTATTGACATTATGGCACTTGTACTAACGTCAATGTCATTTTCAGTTTCAGCCTCATCTTCATTACCCCGAACTACTGATGTAATGTATGAGAATTTCCTAAAGAAACTTGAGGTAGTAAATGAAGGTGAAAACCATCAGGTGTATTAACGGCATTCATCTGTTGAAACTACTCTGTACTCGACTCTATACATTCGATTTTACTTTTTGCTCATGATAACGTCATCACACCTAACCCAACTATCTATTGTTCTATCTAATAATACCTATTCCTCAACGATGATATAATGACTGCTATTATTAATGAGGTTGAAGTTAATTTCAACAGTTGAAACTTAACACGAATTTCTGGAGAAAAATAAAGTCACCTGGACTGAACCTAATTGAATTATTCTGGTGATGACATTTTTTATTCATGAAACTACTTGTTTTATCAATAGTCTGCCTCAAAATACTACTTAAATCTACTGCCTTCTGCAGCAAAAAATGTGAATCACATTAGGAATGATTCAGAAATGATTTACAATTCGCCAGATTCAAGTACTACATCTTGAATAAATATGTTTTATTCAGATGTGATTCCATACTTTCGGTATAATTGATGTATCAGATGATAATAAAAGTCATAGAGGTATGACATGTATTTAAGTACTCTCGGATAGGTACTGTGTTCTTTCAGGTATAAAAATAGATACAGGGTGACTTCAAAATAAATACGTATAATTTCAGTAGTCTCGGATTTTCAAAATTTATTTTGGTAATATTCGTTAGATTGAATGATATGTGCTCAATATTTATGTACTTATTTCAAAATCACCCTGTATACGTGTTACCCTGACCTTGTTATCTTCTACGATAATTACTCCGTCATCAACTGGCTTCTCTAATGTGGAACAGGTATGGAGAATTTTTATGAAACATTGAGTTACATGCAAACATTTTCTTTGTTTCGGCTTCCATTTATATCATTTGTTCATAGAAGAATATTCGACAATGATAGAACAGGATTGGCATTGAATGCTCACATTCAACAATTACATACCCCAATGATTATGGCCTGATTGAAACAGATCCTTCATTCCGCCTTTCAATATCGAAGTCGATTACGTTAGTTTTCAATTTTGTCACCCCAACCATGTTGTCATATTGTGAGGTATAGTTGGGTTGTTTGGAAATTGTAAAACGAGAGTTGTTCCATCACAAGTTCCTATAGTTTCGAGTACCGAGTACCTACCAAACTACTTACTTACCATATATCACCAAACATTTGATGAAACTTTGAAGACTTTAGAAAGAAATTATGATATAGTTGTATTTGTCCAACTAGTTGTTCATTTTTTCACATATTGGGAGACAAAAATTTAAAATTTGTGAATGTTTATATCCGGTGAATGTCTGGTAATTGTCAGCTCTCTTCACTGACTATAGAGACTCATAGAGATTCTCGAGAAGATTCTAGATGAATAATTCTAGATGAGAAATTCTAGAAAAAGTTAGTCCAATTGACATTGACCTCATTGGCATTGATGGAATGTTTGTATATTGGTCAGTTAACTGTTGATTGCCTCCTGTTCTGATATTTTCAACCGACCATAACCAGGGAGGATGTTTTGTGTATCATTGAATACAGGCATACTGATCTTCACAAAGAATGGAAGAACATGTCACCAAATATCCTTTCGAAGATGAATCCATTTTTTGTTTCAAAATGCGTGTCAGAGAGATGCCGAAGCAGATGAAATATAATTTTATGTCCGACCGGCCGATAAAGCTATTTCACGGACGCTAATATTGTCCATAGGAAGTACCATTTAATGAAATAATTTCAATATTCATGTCATGCGAAATTATCACTAGATTTTCATTGCTGTGTCCGACATTCAAATACAGGAAAAAAAAACATGTTCAATTATTTAAGTAAGAAAGCGGTCGAACATAAAGTTTCTTATGCAACTTGTACATATTGACTATTATTTTTCCTTATTTTCATTACAGTTCATAAATTGTTATTTTCATTAGGCAATAATATGTTTACGACATTTGCCTATTCTCACAAAGGCATCTACTAATTAGTACTTCGAGTATCAACTCAAGTTTATCTCTTGCTTGAACTAAACCTCATAAGATAGATAGGGTTTTAAATGTCTTCATAGATTCATTTTTTATGTATCCTGTTCTGTATTTGAATGATCATTAATTATGATTACATTGTTGATGAATAAGAAGAACATAAAAATGGCTAGATTAAGTAGTCTTGAAAATACATGTCGCCCCACCTGGCGGCAGCAACTTGAACACTTCTGAGCGGTTTGTGTTGATGATATGACCAATAAGCACAAACAAAAAACAAATGTGAACCAATGAAAACAAAGTAAACATGACAGCTTTTAAGAACTCCGATAGGTGGCGTATGCTTATTTTCTAACGCGAATATGGTCCATTTTTTTTTCTTTGATCTCTCTGGTAGGTGAAGATTCAAAGTTACAACTTACATGAGAAGGTGTGTTCTATAGTTCATTCATTGCGATATGCGAGCGTTCATTCATCATTTGACATTTCATGATTCATGGAAAACGTCAATTTTGTGATATAATCACTGTGCCATAATTGGTGTAGACGCTCCTGAGTTCCTCACTTTCTGAGCATGTTCACCCTCATATTGTGAATCATTATTATTTATCCATATGCATAAACATACTATTGCAACCCTCAGTTATATTGCACCTTTCAAATAATATCAGTGAGTGCTGATCTATGACTCCAGTACATCACTTTTCTTTTCTTCTACTAACGTGAATTATTATAATAATAGTACAGCATAAGAAATACTAAAATTTGTCATGTTTCTGACAATAATTGGAATAGGTACTTCTTGCAAGTCTATAATTTTATGCAATCAGATACTTCAAACCTGTCAATTATGACACCCAAGGGTAAATCACCCTGCCATAATTGGTGTATACGCTCCTGAGTTCCTCGCTTTCTGAGAATGTTCACACTCATATTGTGAATCATTGTTATTTATCTATATGCATAGACATACTATTGCAACCCTCAATTATATTGATTCTTTCAAATAATATTAGTAAGTGATGAACTGTGACCCCAGTACATCACGTCTCTTTTCCTCGACTAATAAGAATTATTATAATAGTAGTACAGCATAAAAAATACTAAATTTGTCATGTTTCCGGCAATAATTAGAAAAGGTAGTTCTTGCAAGTCTATAAGTTGATGCAATCAAATACTTCAAAACTGTCGATCATGATACCCAAGGGTAAATCACCCTGCCATAATTGGTGTAGACGCTCCCGAGTTACCCACTTTCTAAGCATATTGTGAATTATCATTATCTATCCATATGCATAAATATACTATTACAACCCTCAATTATATTGCACCTTTCAAATGATATTAGTAAGTGATGAACTGTGATTCCAGTACATCACGTCTCTTTTCTTCGACTAACATGCATTATTATAATAATAGTACAGTATTAGGAATAGAAAATGTGTCATGTTTCCGGCAATAATTGGAATAGGTACTTCTTGCAAGTTCATGATCTGATGCAATCAAATGCTTCAAAACTGTCAATTATGACAACCAAGGATAAATTACAGTTGATACTCTGAATGAATTTTATCCTTTATATCGATTTGTTGATTTATCCATGAGCACATCTTTGGCCACACTGTAGATCATTGAGTTATTGACGGTCAATTTTCTTGTAGTTGATGTTGGAGAGACACGTCAACAGTCATTTCAACTCAGACGGCAGTCCGAACACCACTGTGAAAAAGTCACCTGAAAGTGGATCCTGCAAGCTGTTCAAGAGGAATGGAAAACGGATAAGGTTCAGGAGACAGCCTTGGTCAGGTAAATATTATTCATTTTTGTGCCTTTCCGTTCATTTTTTTCAATTGAATTTAAAAATTCAACTGTCCCCCCAGCTAACACAATGATGTCCAATGAACATTCAATGGACCTCCATGTCTGGACACCATGGACATCCATCGGCTGTACACCAGATTTCAATGTGTTTTCATTGGATGTCCATTGGATGACAAATGTCTGTATTTTTGGACATCCACTGGATGTCCTTCAGTGATCCAATGGATGGCGAATGGATATCCAATTTATGTCCATTGGGCACGTATTGGAACCATTCATCCATGAATCCATTGGAAGTCAAATATATGTCCCATAGTCATCCAATGGATTTTGAATTTAGGTTCAATTATTGTCCAAAAGCAATCCATTGGATATGTGGGAATTTTTTATCAGGAAGGTAGGATCAACAAATAATATAAGTGCATCAATTGTAACCAAGATAAGTTTATGAATAGCATAGGGCATTCGGAAACGGAAACTTTATCTTGGTATTCTTGGTCACCCTGTAGAATGTGCTAATTCTGAATATGTATAAATACACATAATGAATGGAAGATAACATAATATAACTATATAAAATAGTTCAATTATAAGTGTAGGAACAAACATGTTTTCACTATTTCTGACATTTTGAACATTGACAACAGACACTGCTATTTTTGATGTTGAAATAAAATCAAACTCAAACCCATAGCGTCTTTGGCGTCAGAGACAATAGATTAGACACAGTTCACAGTACACACTACACAATACTCACACTAGATTTTGTTTCGTTTTCGTGCATCAGTTTCTTTTCTGGCCGTATGGCGCCGCTTACGTAAACTGTGCAAACCGCGCATAGTTTCAGAAATTATTATCAATACACACTGATGATTTCTGAATTATTCACAACCATAGTTCTCTATATATGGATATATTATATTGTCATAGAACATTGATTGATTGTCTTTATTACCCCAAGAAACATTTCTGTTTATGATAGGAATACATAAATACATATAAAAAAAAAAATAATGGGTTAACTATAATGAATTCCACTCAGTGGAAACGAATTAATATTGTGTCTTATAAGATTAAAGTTATATTTCATTGAGGTGGATACTCCGGCAAGTATCCGAATTACTATAAAATGTGATTCAATTTGAGCGGATATATTTATATTCAAAATACAAAACAATAATATGACAAATATATCTTGCATAATGGTATGCTAGAAAATTCCCAAGATGCCTTAATATATTAAATATATGTATTATCGGAATTGACATCAATTCAGCTCACATATGAAAACAAGTGGGGGTAAATGAAAGGGTAAATGAGAAGAATTATGGCGAAAACCTTTTGGGGAACCAGAGTTTCAGAGTAATGTTGAAAAATAATCTGAAAAATCTGAATTTCAACATCTATTATCCCAATCAGAAATAATGTCTTGTATCTATTAAATTATAATTATAATAATAATTCATTAACTCTGATTTCACAATAAACAAATCCCCAACTGATGTTTTATCTCATACTAGTGAAGGAGATTCATCACAATCACATTGATGGTTGTCGATTTTACAGGGTGTTCTTTTTTGTTTTCGGAAATTATAAAAAAACTGATTATTCAAAAATCATAAAATAAAATTGTTGAATGATAAGAGTAGTGTCCTTCCAAAATTTCATGGCGATTCATCGTACGGTCTCTCTTTCTGACAGCAGAAAAACTATGAATTTGAGAGCTAACGATAGTATTCCATACATTTTTATCAATGGCCTGGCCAGCTATGATATTCCCGATTTTCTTTTTCAGCACGCATGTTCGATTTCATCGACCCCGGTATAATGGAGGGCCTTCAGCACAATCTTCTCATGTCGACGCAGAAAAGAACGTTAGGAAAAATAAGCGACACTGGTGATACAGTCCATTTAAGAAGCGAAGTTTTAGCTAGACGAGTAGAAAACGATGGTAGCATTAAATACTTGCTCAGGTGGCATCCTGCAGACGTGTAAGTATTCACGACCGAGTTTCTTTTCCTCAGCACCCGAAATTTCAACTGAGAAGTAACCTGCTGATCGAACTACCTTGTGAATGAAGATGAGAGTTTGGGTTCTTTTATTGAACAGTGATATGTTGTTTCATTTCATTCAATCTCGTGGAAATAGTTTTTTCTACTAGCATGTAGAAAAGTTCACTTCTCCCTCCGCGCACATTTGAGTGTTGAAAGACTCACTTTTCCGCACTAGCGCGGGAAAAACTTTCGACACCGGAATGAGTGCGGAAAAGGGGAATTTGGGTATTTTTGAGTGGTCGTGTGTAAAAGTAATACTGCACGCCGGGCGGATAAAATTCGCGTCGTGCGCCTAACTGTATTTGGGTGCGGAAAGTAACACTCTCGGTAACACTTTGCGCACTTGTTAGGAAAATACCTATACTGGAACTAGTGCGGCAGTTGCTACTTTACCGTCGCTATCGCCTTTTTAACATAGTTTGGCATGCTATTGAGTGCTGGAAAAACGAATGTAATACCAGATCTCTAATAGGGAATTCCATCCATAAACCTGGTGGTGCACTGGTTTTGCACTGGCACAACATTGGTTCTCTCCAAAATATGAACTGATGCATTCCCAATGGACTATGAAATAATGTCATGATAAAATTATTTTCAGAGGTTGAATCATTCAAGCTGGTTTGTTTATAACTTGTCCATATCCAGAATCTCTTTCTCAACTGCAATCAAAAAATGAACTGAATATTTTATGGAAATAATTTTGAGCATTTTTATCTATCAAGTACCTCTTCATCATTGAAATAGTGCACATCACTTCCGACAAAATTATGAATTTATGTAATAGCCAATTTCACTATGATTGAAAATAGCCCTTTTTATATGGCGAATTCAGTATACCAAATAGCACTTCCTCTCATCTATTAATTCCATTACAACCGTTTAATTAATACTTCAAAAGTGCTTCAAATCGAGAGAGTTCCAAACGACCATTTTTCGCGGTGTGACGTCACTTGTATTTTCTTGAGGCTCCCTCTGACGACCCAAAGAAGATGTGTTGCACAAAACCACAGACACAGAACTCGAGCACAGAGTGGTTAGGTGATCTGTGACTTGAGAGAAAAATTGCTACAAAACAAACTGTAGAAGAAGAAAAAGATTAACCTCGAAATCTGGTTCATAGTTCATTATTTCATTTCATTTTCAGTGATCTATCAGTGTCATATTAGTGATATTCTTTCAATCTGAATTAATTGAAATATTTTACTTGAACTGAAAGGAATCAGTTGATATGCGTATATTCAAATGACGTTCATTGTATGTCAACTGATTCAGTTCAGTTATAGTGAAATGTGTCAGTATGTTCAGAACGAAAGAATATCACTATCAATGACGGCTAAATATCTAGACTGTTCAACACTCTAGATATTTAACCGTCATTGTCACTGTTATAGTTTTTATTGAGTGAAAAATGCAATGACAAATGGTGACAAGACCAAGTGTATGACGCGGTGTGACGTACCTTGTATTTGTCCAATGAAATGTCATCAATATTTCGCGCGCATTCGAGCTATCGTTCGAATTTAGGTTCAATTAAATAATTTTTTTCTGGGTCAACCGCAATTTTAAGAAAATTGAAAAAATGCTGAATTCACCCAGTATGTGTTCTAAATCATGAAAAAAAAATCAAAAAATCATGGTGAAATTCCCTATCGCCTCTTTTTTCAATACATCCAACTTTTCATCACTATATTTGATGTTGATCTGATGGCCACTAACAATTTGCCTTTCATGTTACTCATATTCAATGATACCGTCATTTTCAAAACTGCACCAATTTCGCACGGTCTGTTAGAGCTCATGCGAGAATTGTTGCGCTGGTTTTCCAAATGCATTCAAAACCTGTCATCATCTCTTAAAGTATTCAAATTAATAAAAAAAAAAGATGAATAGGTATGTCAGCAATTTACTTCTCTTTTGTTATAGTGATTGTTGTTAGTTTATATATCATGTAGAATCAATCCATTCACATAGCTAATCACCTGATTCCCTCCAAATGTCAAAAAAACAATATTGTGGAAAACACTCATTTTAATTCATGACAAAAACAGTGGATTCCTCAATAAATGAATGCTATTGAATTTCATCACATACTAGGTAGTAAACATTATGAAACCAAGGTAGACAAGACTTTTTTTATAGCCTAGATGGGAATGAGATTGCAAGGCTATGAAAGTCTTCTTTACTATAGTATATCTGGTGATCGAATGAAAATGTAACATCTAGTACAGTAATTGTGAATAAATTAGTTCTGCCTATCGGTACTAATATTAGCTTTTGTTCCTATTAAGCTGAGGAATAGCGGAAGCAGAGGAAAATTCAACTCTCTGTTTATTGGAAATTATGCTCTCAAAGTTGAAACGTGTAAATGCATATTCAATATTTGTTTATTGGTAACTTATATTGCTCATTTAAAGCATTTCAAAGTAAGTCTCAGTGTTTCCATCCAACTCTCAAAGATGCGCGTATTTTAAAGTTATCACGTCAACGTGAACAACCCACTAGAAATATTAAAAATGTCAACTCACATTATTAGTGTTCTGACAGTAGTATGTTGTGACGGCAAGTAAAATACAAATTAAAACAAAGGTTATACTGATGTCACATCACAAATTCATCAATTTTATATCATTTCTTATTCCCATTTTTTGGCGTAACAAATCGATAAAGAGGGTACTGTGACAAATCTTTGATTTTTAAAATAATTTCTTTGAGGCAAGATTCACTCAGGCAGAATTGCCATTTCATGATTACTTGCAGTGTCTTACAGTTTGGCCACCCCCACCCATGTTCTTTCGTATCCTTAGGGCAATTTTAATTTTTTTCTCTTATAATTATACTACTCAAACTATCTGCTTTGTCGAGCAAAAAATGAATATCAATCACAATTTCTTGGCCTACTGCGATCTCCAGCAAAAATTAAGAAAATGGATTAGCCATTTTTACAAAAATTTTGGTAATGGCATCGATTCGGACTAGTCACAATTACCCCTTTATCAATTTTCAAAACAATATTTCATAAGGAGTGTTTTTTTTAACGTTTCAATTTTTGAATAATTGCGTTTCTCAAGTCAACGTGTATAATAATTCTTATACGAATTCTAATGATACCAGGCATGAATGTAGTAAAGATTTGCTAATGGGTCTAGAGAGTGGGATAAATAACAAATAAAATCACTATAAAAATTTAAGAAAAGATTAAATGATACCAATCAAAAAATTAGAAAAAGAACTAAAACAGCAACCATTCCCAACAAGTTCAGATTTTTGTATTCTTGATCAAAAATCCTTCAGTCTCTATATTCTTTTCATATCTCTTTTGTTAGTTTCAACTCTCCTCAGTTCTTCTGGTGGTATCTCTCTGCAAACTGTTATTATTATTTTTCATCGCAACTGTTCTCTATTATTTGGCCTTAATTTCTCACTCTGTAGGCAGAGATGATCTAATCCTCACTACCATACTGTATGGTATTATTCAAGTTCTCAAAAGAATTATTATACACAGTGAGTTGAAAAATGCGATATTAAAAAATTGTAACTTCGATAAAAAACACCCATATTGTTTTGACAATTCATATAGGAGTATTTGTGACTATCCCAAATCTATCGCCATTATCAAAATTTTTGAAAAAGAAACGCCTAATCCGTTATCTTCAATTTTGCTGGATTTTTTGTAATCACAGTAGATTAAGAAACTTTGTATGATAGTTTTTTTTTTGCTAGACAAAGTAGATCGTTTTGAGTAGTATATTATGAGAAAAAAATCTCAAATCAGGGGCGGGGTGGACAAAATTGTAACTGTATATCTACTGGATGTTACAGTGATAGTCTCTACAAATAATTCGGTAGGGGTAGCGAATCAGCGTCCTTCTCATACACTCAAATTTCAGGAATGTTTTGAAAACTTCTCATCTATCATACATCACCTCCACAGTTGATATTGGGGTAGTGAAACAGCGTCGTTCTCCTTTACCCAAATATCAGGAATATTTTGGAAACTTCTCATCTCATACATCGCCTTCATCGTTAATATTGAAAGATGAATTTTATTGTAATACCATTTTTACTTTCTTTTTCAGTCTTCCGACTAAGACTTTCGATAGTCCGATGGAAAGTCTTAATATTTTTTGGAATAAATTCAATATCCTTATTCACAACCTACCAATATATTATAGGAATGTATTTGTTCCGATAATTTTCTCACCTGCTGTGAGAAAAAGTTGAACCAGATATGATTTTTCCTGAAACTCGATATGAGGGAATAATGTAAAATTGTAAAGATACGTGAATAATACTAATGGGCTTCAAAAGTCACAGTAGGCCTTGAAACCCCTGAGGAAAACATACAGAGCACCCAAAAAACCGCGCATAATACCTCAAAACGCCCGCCTCTACAATATTGGCTAGGGGAGCAAACTTTCATTGCAACTCATTGGTCGAATTGGCATCTGTTCTCCAATCGATTTATTTATTCAAAAAAATATTTAAAACAAAATGAATTGATGATCTAAAACTTGATGAGCTTCTTAGTATGTAGATTACGGTGTATCAATGAATAACAATTCAATATTATTTCTCTACTACACTCCTGACAATCTTCTGACATTACTACTGGTGTCATTTTGGTTGTGTACCGATATTCAATCCTAGTTTGTTAAACCATTGTCGTTCTAAATGAAGACTTACGGATTAGGCAAGAGGTATAATTAATTGTCTGTTTGATTGAAAAATAATTACGAAAATCGCCCTTATCGATCACATTTTCAGTAAGCTAGTGACCTCTATTCCGAACTAAGTTATCCATTTGTTATCTTAACACTGAATTCCTCACAAGTTTCTGATCAAGAATTTCTCATGACATAACATTTTAGGTACTTAACAAATAGGGAAAGCAGTATGCATAAAGAAGAAACGGTTGTTTATGCAATGATGAAATTCTTGATTCATTGGTGTTATTTCAATTTGAGTAAAATCTGAAAACTCATCAGTCATGTGATGAAACATTACTGTTTGCACTTTATTGAGGAGAAGAGAAGAATAAAAAAGTAGGAACTGCTTATCTACTTTTGAATTGTTAATGAAAACTTAATACATTATCTTTATTCCTGGAATATCAATTAATTGTTGTAAAATACAAATGATACCTATATGGCTCAAGAAAAATTAATACCTGATGTTGTTGAAAGTTAATGCATGTTGCCTCAAATTCACGTCAGCGTTGAGGAGTGTTGAAGAATGCACTCACCTCTACCTCTTGTACAAGTGCAAAATCAAACAAACCAACAACCCACCTTGCCAACAACTATCGATCTCGAAATTACAATCTAATCAAAATAATTTGTCTGAAGTGAATTGTCCATGTTGACAAATATTTGATTGAAACAAATAAGCTCTTGATGTTTTCAGCGATTTTCAGTAAACTAGCGCCAATGACAAAAAATGGAGTCAATGAACTCTCGCCTACAAAATGACAATGCTTCAATTGACTATGTTCAAGACTTCTCATTCGAATTCTGCAGAACAGAAAATATACCTCTCGCCTACTAACTAGGATTTCCTTTAGAACGACATTGGTTCAACAAGCGGAGTTACAGTTGGAATAAGACAGTTGCTGTTTTTCCTCTATATTCTTATTCATTATAGCGAAATAGTTTTGTTACGTATCGCTTGCAGGAAAAATCTTTGATGTTCTATGGAAATCATAGTAGGCTAGGAAACTGGAACCAAATACGTTTATAACGAAAAATATAATCGTTTGCCTCTATAATTTCATGACGATCATGTTATGAAATACCAAAGGCAAGATTGTGGTCCGGACTTGATATAAAAGACACTACAAGTGCCTATATATACCAAAGAATATTAATTGACTGAGCAGAGAATTACCACACACAGATATTGCGTTCAACAACACAGATGCTTGATGTTTGATGACACCAAAAATTGAAGTGGATTGAAAATGATTTGAGCAGGACTATTATTTTTCTTCTAGGATTCAGAAGTGTCTACAGTCGATTAAAATTGTAATTCAACTTGACATGCCGATTGAGACATGACATAGAAAAAATCTAATTTACACCACCTAACTATTTTATAACGATATTTCCATATAATCTATCTAATTTTTTTTTATGATACAAATCGGAACCTTTTAAAAATGATTAAAGATAAGAGCAAATATTCTCAACAACCAATAAGAGCAAGAATTCACTTTCACCGTGGGGGTACACAGGGAAACAAGAACCTGAATCCATTAAGCCTAAACCTAATCTAACCAAATCTAGCGGGTACCGAGGATATTCAAATTTGGAGATTATCTTCAGATTATAGAATTATGTTATCCTACTCAAGTATTTAGTTTAAATTAATTAGATTCTGATTTGGTAAAAGGTTCATCCTGTAATATTTATAATCTAAATAATGTAGTATCTATTAATGTTTCCAAAGGTAATAGTGGAACGAAAATTGTTTTTTTTTTTCTACAAACATCGACCTCTCGAGAGCTGAGAATTTAGAAACCGAAGAGGTTGGGAACTCGGGCTATAATAATCTCACAACCATGCCATATCTGTGAAATGAATTCAGATTAACTGCATCCAGCCTATGTTTTCTCGTTCGGTGCTAGCAGGAACGGTCAGAATAAGTTTTCCTGGCGAATTTTCATTGTTATTTTTGCAAATAGGTACCAAACCACCTAATGGTGTATCCACAATGGGCAGTCGGTAGTTGGCAGTTAGGAGTCGGCAGTTGGTCGTTGGCATTCGGCCGCTCGAGAGAATACCGACCACAATTAGTCGTCAACAACTCGCGCTCTGGAGCAGCTCTTGAGGAACTATTCCGCTGTTGCTTATTGTTACGATTTGAATAACAATTAACAAGGGGTCCGTAATGAATCATTTGACATCTGTTCAGACAGTGAATTGGCTCACCGACAACGAACATTACCTTATTACCCTTCTTCAACCCACTCGTTCTGACACAACAATTTTGAAATCTTCCTCGTCATGTACACTTGTTCGTGACGTCACGAAATGTCCCGTGATTGGTTAGAATTCAGCAGTCGGTTGTGCAGTTGGCAGTCAAAGATCGATTTCGTGGCTGCCGACTACAGACGACCGACCGCAAGCGGCCGACGGCTAACTACCGACTGCCTATTGTGAATACACCTTAACCTGCTTTCGTATTCAAATCGTCGATGCTTGATGATTATCGAACAAAAATCAAGAGCAATCAAGTTGAATGAGTCACAAAACTTATTATTATTAACAAAACAAGCAAATCTCTTTCAAAGAGTCCAAGGACCATCTATAAAGATAGGAAGGTATAGAATATGTCAAAAAAATTATGACACTGAGTGTATCGTATATGTATAGGGTTGCATTGGATTGGTCACAGTGGATGTCGTCACGCTCATCATTGTCTTTTCTCCGTTTTTCTTCTCATGGATTATTGTGGATTTCGATAATTTTTTTTTGATCAATGTACAGAGCTCTGATGGTGAACTAGTTTGGATTAGTACCTCAAGATAATGGAATGAAATGTCCCACTGAAACAGGCCCATTCCAAGTTTTTGATAGTTTAATTCCTTTTTTTTTTCTTACATTTGGAGAAACTTCTGAATAGAACGGCGAATTGATCAATTTCAGCTGGCGCTGACGATTATGACGTCACCACATGGCGAGCATCAGCTGATTAAGGAAGGGGGTGGGGGTGGAAGTTGGAAAAAGTGTCCGAGAATGTATTGATTATCTTTTTGTTTTGCGAGTATCATTGATACCACTTCTGGTAGGTTGTCAAATGGGATAGACAATTTTATCACTTTCGGCAATATGTCCGAAGAGTTGTTTCGACGTAATTACCACTTTCGGCGATGTGTTCAATGAATTCTTTCGACAATTTGAGAAAAATTGGGCTTTCTGTTTCAACACATGCATTTTCGATCTATGCAGCGTTTTGGCAACATTAACTTTCGGCACCTTTCCACTGGCGGTTTTCGGCATAAAGGCTTCCTTCAAATAGTTCACAATCTGATTCTAATTATTGTTATAAATAGTACATAACTCTTTCATGCTATTTAAAAAACAGTTCCAAATCAGCACACTTCCTGATCCTACACTTGCAGCAAAGTGTCCACTGATCTGTTTCGGCGTTTTGACAGAAATTTCGGCGACTTGTCTATTCGGCGCAGTGTCATGGAGCCTTTTGAATTCGCTATTTTCTTTATTAGCTGTACTGTGAGAGGAATATATTATCAAAAGCTGCCACTGCACTTTTCGTCTAGAAATGTCGCGTCTATTGTCCACGATATTTTTAATAAATGTGAGGGAGGCTCTGATAGCTTCAACAGTTCAGAAAATACACTGCATATTGTACCTACTTGATACACTGAAATGATGTAGAATGTCTGTGATATATCTAATTTCCATTTTGTTTTATAGCGCTCCCGACGAATGGGTGCTGGAAAAAGAGTACAAACCGACTAGAATAGTATCGATACCACATTTGGATCCGTCATCGAAAGATGCTCTCAGGCCTTCATTGTTTCCATCACAACCTAGGCGAAAGCATCATCGTAAACCCATTTCAAAGCAAACGTGATAAAAATGTTGTTATTTAAAATAATATTTATAATATTTTTGAGCCTTTGTATAAAACAAAAATGTAACACCAGCGTGCGTGTTTAAATGGTCAAGGAAATGTTAATGTTCATATAAAAACTGGAAATCGCGATTTTATGTTGTTATGAACTTTGCTGTGATGTGGATCAACAACTTGTAGCCGCACAAATATTTGCTATCATGGGATTTGATATAGTACAACAAGAGCAATAATAACTAATATCTATTTAAGAATTTTCAATCATTCATAATCCATAGAAGTTGTATCCCAACTGTTCTTTTTAATTTTTTTCAGAATATTGGGATTGAAATCCTCATGTGATCAATGGATCAAGAAATAGAATCAAGACATCTTGAAATTCGTTTGTGAGCTGAACAATCAAACTGAAAAATGAAACATAATAACTTTAACTTTACAACTGATTTGGCCAAAATAACTTATGTACTCACTGATTTCTCAAGTTTATCATAAATAGATGATTTAATATTAAAACAAATTCAGAATTGATATCACTGAAAGATCATATTTGTATACCATTTTCATCGCAATATGTATAATATCATAATATTTCAAACGGTGGTTCATTCTTTTTTGGTGCACAGATTGAAAAATACAGCTTTCCTAGTTAATAAACAGATCTAATCACTAATTACCACCTCATTTGAATTGAATCTGTTCAAAATCTAAGAAAATTTCAAGATGTCAAAGACCTGCTTTGATCTCTTTATTCATAGACCATTGCATTTATGCTATATTTGGACGTCACCTCTGAATGAATCCTAGTAAGCTGAAATTCTTCTTCCACTCATCTTTTGTTGTTCCAAATAAGGGCTTAAAAGTTACCAATGATCAGTTGAATGCACAATTTTTCATAATACTGAGATGGGTCTATTTCTTAGAATTTCCGACTTCATCTTCGTTTCTCTTGAGATAAGGATAAACAGATAACAAGAGGTGAATTTTTTAAATAAATTCATGATATACGTCAACGTTTCAATATATTTACCTACATTTTGTAAGCAATATGAAAAATGTAGCTCTTTAGGATGAAACCACCTTGGAAAACTGGTGGGAAGAGGAATCCAGCATACTGATCAAATTTTCATATTAAGTGGGTTTGAGGGTTGCATAAAAACAAATATTTTCAATGTAACAATTGCTTAAAATGTGTGTTGACCTCAATTCCCAGATAACTCCACAAGAAATTGAAATCAATTTTTGCCACAACTGATATCTGATATTTTATGCCTGTGTTTTTATAGTGCTGCAAAAAGAAATTGATTGTCCTTCAAAGTTCTAAACGAAGTGCTGCAAACTGGCGAAAATACCTTCATCAACTGACCGCTCAAAAACGTAATTTTGATTAAATTAAATGACTTCGGAAATACGTTAAACTTCAAAATTACGTTCTGATTCAATAAAACCATCAAACATACTACAAACTAAAATATTCTAAGTATGCAGGATTCTTCTCTGATTTCAATCGGCTTTCCAACCGGACTTGCATGTGAAAATCCATGAGGCCGATTTCAGCCACCCTTGAAAGGCTATATTCTTTATATTGTTCTCAAAATGTAGGAAACTACATTAAAACATTGAGGCATGTCTTGAATTTTTCAGAACAAATATTCACCTCCCCGCTCGAATTTATTTCAGCTAAAGTCTCCACTCTAAATATATACCTACTATGTCATCTTTACAGGAAGTCAGTGGAGATCTTAACGTTGTAATATTTTCGACTCACCACATTTTGTGTATTTTACAACTTCCAAATCCTAACTGACCTGAGTATAATATGGATCAAAACAATGTAATTTCCTAGAATCATTACTATCCTATGAAGTATTTGAGAAACTTGTGTATTTGTGAAATCTGAAGAACACTTTTTTATAGAGAATGTTCTTCTCGTTTTATCATTATCCTTGAATCAATTATAACAAAGATGTAGATAACATTCTTGTTAGTAGGTACTGTCTAAAGTTGTTCACCACTTTGCATCCCTTATTTGGAATGACGAAATGTCATTATGAACAAAAATCAGCAGACTGGGACTCATTCAGAAGTCAAATTCAAAATGTCAATTGCAACATCTCCAGTTTTTATATGATTCGACAAATATGGATCTCCTAGCAAAGGTTCGTTATACCTAATGTAACATAATTATGGAATAAGAGTGTAAAAATTGTGGTGGAGTCGTTCACCTTGTATAGTAGGATATGTATAATGATTGTATAGTAACATAAGGAAACTTAGAAAGAAACTGTTTGCGGTTTTGACCATTTAACAACCAGCCCGAAATCACTGCCATTATTAATCTGGTTGAATAGTTGGTAAAAACTTCTAACTAGATTAGATAAAGATATAGTATGTTTCAGAAGTCTTTTTCCCCCATCTAGTTTTTGAACAGAATAGTATCGTCAGTTAGGCCCCATCATCAAATCGCCATTTTGTATGGGTCCACTAGTTGCGTTGCCGAATATTTTTCGTTATTCTGTTTCAAAATATATGCAAAGACAAAGACTTTAGAAAGAAGCTATGTATATTTGTATTTAATTAATTTTTCTAGTTTTAATTTCTCATTGTGTTCGCAATTTTTATACAAAATATTTTTTAAATAATTATACTTCTAGATGTGCTATCTAAACATTTTTTTTAGTAAGTCAATTTTTTTACATTCCTATTTGATTGTATTTAATGAAACAATACGTTTATTGTCGATTATTTTAAACGATTTTCTATGATATTTTTTGCAATCATACTCGAAAGGTTAATCAAAAATCCATACTTCCTTTATATTTATAGTAACACAGCTGTACTCTGGTAACAAGAAAAAACGAAGATATCATTTTATTCATTCAAATTTCATATTAATCATTGAGTCATTCTCGAATCATTGTCTATATGATCCATTTGGTAGAGATTTCACTGATTTCATGGTGAAACTAAAAAAATGCCATACATTTTCTCTCCGCCAACCAACTTATATTGTATTTATGAGTTGAAAGAACATACATTTCTCCAAAAAATATTTGTTCTCTTCTACATTGACCTATCCAATTGTTCAGTACATTTTTCGGTAGTGTAATAAAACTTAATAGGTTCCAGTTCTTCTTGTACCATTATTAATTTTAATTGTGGTGAAGCTTATTAACTAAAATAAGAAATTCTGTCAAATGAATCGGCTGATTAGTAGTTATATGAGATTGGAGAAAGAATACAAGAACTGCCAGAAATGTTTACTGTCAAAGTGCTTTGAACATTGTCAAGTGTTGTAATCAGAATCGATCTACCTCTGAAATCATGATCAAAATATGGAGTGTCATTTGAAGTTGATTGTTGCTTGACGGAATTTGAATATAACAGTAAAACCTTCAAGATATTTTTGCTCAGTTCATATCAATTTGTTTAAATATTTTTCTTGGCGGCATAGTTGTAATACTCGCCGTATGAAAAGACCTGGGAGACCTAGTATAATTCCACACTACTGTCAAATTGGATATTCTTCTCTACCAAGTGGACTCATATTCAATCTTTGAGTATTTGCATCTAGTTTTTATTGACATTTCTCAATTTACCTATGACGTAGGTAGTTGAGATTACACATGTTAAATTAACGGTGAAGGAAAAAACATTTTTTCCAGAAATTGAGATAGGTACGCATTGCTTCCCAAGGACAAATCATCGGCTCCCGATATACTGTCTCCATAAGTCTATTGAAAAATCGTATAGTGTTTTCTGCCTTGAAATATCATAGAACGGTTAAAAACTGGGAATGTCCGTCCTGGAACTCCAAAGAACTAGGAGAGTCTTTGTCAAAAGGTACATACAACCCTAATTCTTCGCTCTCCAAATCAGTCTGCTATCAATTCATTTGTCATGTTTGCATCTAAACTAAACAATAAGATTTTTTTGCCTTCAAAATCAACTTCTCTTCTGATGATGATTTATGAGCTGATATTCACAGAAATATCAAAAATATTCAAAAGTTGGAGGATGCCTAAATAGCTATTTGTGTATTTAGAGCGCAAAGTGATAGATTGCCGCTCGACAAAGAAAGTAATCTTTGGAGAGCAGCAATAAAACTTTGCTCGAAATACACACAAGATTTTTTCTACAAACGCAGCTTTTGGAAATAACTGCCCTTAAGAGCGATTGAAATAGTTGAAAAAGTTCTTATCCATATTATCCCATATGTCCAAAGCCTTGATTATATACAGGAAAGGAAAAAAAAATTGAAATAACTGACAAGCCAGAAAAAAAATGTCGAGCCTACCGAGAATTGAAACTGGACCACCAGCGTGGCAACCTGAGCTTCAGACCTCTGAGCCATAGTACGATAAACTCTGCAATCAAATTGAACATTACTCATTGATGCAATAAAATAAAGATACAGATATGCTTCATCGGGAGCTTCTTGTAAAAATTTGTTGGTATCCCAACTAGCATTTATAGTCGCGATTACGTAATTACGACTATTGGGTCGACTATTAAGTAATATTTACTAGTTGCGGTTACGTTATAATTACGTCGTTACTACGTATTTACGACCAAACTGGGGAACAAATCACGAGTAATTATTACGGTTTGCCGACGTAGCGGGAACTCACACAATTACGTAATGCTTACGACCCGTCGACGTCGAAATTACGTAAAGATGTAGTAAATTTTCCTACCTGACTTTCTATTTCTTTTCCACTTCATAAAAATATTATTTTCTCTCTTTATTATTCTTCATTTCATCCATGAAGTTCACATTCACGAAAAATGAACAAGTCCAATATGCCTAACCATTCAATAAATAATACAAGGACAAACACGCGAAATAATTGATACTCGAACTTGAAAAATTCGAACAACATTCAGTTTTTCGATAAATGTGATGATTTTGCCTCGAAATTCAAGATGCGCCCACAAAATACGGCTCATTTCACCAAAAATATGGTTTTATTTCATTCGGCTATTTTTCAAAAATCATCGTA